TTTTTGTAGGTCTCTCTGGGCCAGATCAGTATTCAAAAGCATCTTGAAACCTAAACAGTAGACAGGGATATGGAAGACAGCCTAGAGCAAAGGAGGGTGCTAAGGCTTCATCTAGGCTCTGTGTACATACAGCGTCTTCCCAGGACACTCTGCACATGACATTATGTGGCTTGCACTCTAACACTCTGGCTGGTTTTTGCAGGATATGTTACCTTAGCTTTCCAGACTTTGCTTTGACTTCACACATTTCAGACACATGAGAGGGAGTCTCCATCTAATCTGCCACTCCCTCCCAGAAATCTCAGCCAGAAAGATGTTATTTAGTCCAAAGGAAAAGCCAAAGTACTGGGCAACATGTAGTCTTTTTTTTTTTTTTTTTTGTCAGTCGTGGGGCTTGAACTCTGGGCCTGGGCACTGTCCCTCAGCTCTTCAGCTCAAGGCGAGCGCTCTACCACTTGAACTACAGCGCCACTTCTGGTTTTCTGGTGGTTTACTGGAGATAGGAGTCTCACGGTCTCTCCTGCCCGTGCTGGCTTTGAACCTCGATCCTCAGATCTCAGCCTCCTGAGTAGCTAGGATTACAGGCGTGAGCCAAAAAAGCAACTACAGCGCCCGGCTTGTAGTCTTTTTTTGTTTGTTTTTTGTTGGTCATGGGGCCTGAACTCTGGGCCTGGACGCTGTCCTTCAGCTCTTCAGCTCAAGGCTAGCGCCCTACCACTTGAGCCACAGCACCACTTCCAGCTTTTTTCTGCTTATGTGGTGCTGAGGAATTGAACCCAGAGCCTCATGCATGTGAGATAAGCACTCTACCACTGAGCCACCTTCCCAGCCCAACATTTGGTCTCTTACACTGGACTTGAAGCCTGGGATGGCAGGAGATGACAGTCTAGGCCTGCAGAGGGAAATCAAGGGACTCTTAAGCTAAACAATGGCAGAGTCGGACACTGAAGAAAAGCAGGTAAGAAGGGGCATTGGCAGGAGGATGTCTAGAGAGGGCTCACAGTGTTGGGCACTCAATACCAGTGGTAAATAGAAGACCAGTGAGGGCTGGGTCAAGGGCACAGGGTAGAATGGCCTGACTCAGCTAACCTAATCCCCCCACACACACACACAACCACACTACCCCAAGGACAAAGGAGGAGAAGCATTTTCTCAGTTAAAAATCACTGTGTCTGGTGATCACACCTGTAATCCTAGCTACTCAGGAGGCTGAGATCTGAGGATCACAGTTTGAAGCCAGCCCAGGCAGAAAAATCCCTGTGAGACTCTTATCTCCAATTAACTGCTCAAAAACTTGGAAGTGGCACTATGGCTCAAAGTGATAGAGTGCTAGCATTCAGCAAAAGAGCTCAGGGACAATACATAGGCCCTGGGTTCAAGCCCCACAGCTACCACCATCACTAACAAATCACTTGTTGTCCTGAAGGGTAAGGATACAGCTGATGGAGGAGCATGTGCTTAGCATGTGCAAGGTCCTGAATTCAATCCTGAACACAAAGGAGAGAGAGGAGCAAGGGAGCAGTAACAAGGTTTACAAAAGCAACAACAAAGGGGGATGGAGGTGTGGCTCAAGCAGTAGAGCACTTGCCTAGCAGGTGTGAGGCCTTGAGTTCAAATCCTATACCATCAGAAGAAAAAAGAGGAGGAGGGCTGGGAAGGTGGCTCATGGTAGAGTGCTAGCCTAGCATGCATGAAGGCCTGAGTTCAATCCTCCGTACCACATACACAGAAAAAGCCAGAAATGGCGCTATGGCTCAAGTAGTAGAGTGCTAGCCTCAAGCAAAAGAGCCTCAGGGACAGTGTCCAGGCTGCAAGTTCAAGCCCCAGGACTGGCACACACACACACACACACACACACAAAGAAGAAAAGAAAGAAAAGAAAAAGGAAAATGAGGAGGAGAAAAAGAAAGCATTTGTGCTCAGCCCATTTCCTTATAATTTTTGGTACAGATGAGTAAAAATATGTTAATTCTTCTTTTTATGTGTGTGGTGGCTCTGGGGCTTGTATCTCAGAGTCTCATATTTTACTTGCTCATGGCTGGTGCTCTACCACTTAAGCCACGCCTCAAGCCAGCTTTTTGCTGGCTAATTGGAGATAGCGTCTCAGACTTTTCTGCCTGAGCTGTCTTCAAACCATGAGCCTCAGATCTCAGCTAGGATTACAGGGGCGAGCCATGGCTCTCCGGCTTGCTTTTTCACTTTTATAATCACTGGCCAAGATAGTATCTGTGACTTTACATAGCGATGTTCAGCCCTGTGACTGTAATAAACCCAAGCTGGCTATACTTCTGGGAAGTACAATCCCATCTCTGTGTTCTGTCTCCTGCCAAGTGACCTCAGCTCTTTTTAGCCTGTAGGCCTCTTTACAGACTCTGGGAGCCACAGGTGTGAAGTGAAATTGAGGAGAATGTTCCTAGTCCATTATATCCAACTCTACCCCCACACCTCCAAAAAAAAAAAAGGATGCCTTGAACTTTACCTTAAATAGCTCCGCTATCCTGACAGACTTACAGCATTTATTGTTATTTCAGTATTTCACTTATCTCTTCTGTACACTTTCCCCAAAGATCTCCAAGTATGGAACCAAACGGTCCACGTCATCTAGCACAGCCCCCTTCAGGGCCCGCTGCGGGAGCACCCTCTCCTAGTTGCTGCCAGGCCTCTTTGGAGGCCCCTAGCTGCTGTGGGCACAGGCAGTGTCTGGCTGGACTCAGGACAGCTGCTGACTCATGCTTACTCTGGGATGCTAGGAGCCCAGCTCTCCTGCTCCTCAGCCTCGCCCCGACCCCTGGCCACCATCGGCGCGCTTGCCCCAGGCCCACCTGGAAGACGTCGTTTGCGCACTTGCGGCACAGGTTGTGCTGGCAGGGCAGGATCACCACGGGCTTGGAGAACATCTCCAGGCAGATGGGGCAGATGAGCTGCTTCTCCAGGTTGTCCATGCTGTGCGCATCCCCGAGCAGCGGCTTGAAACCCACGGCGAAGTTCATCCCGCTCGGCCTGGCCGCGCTCAGCGCTGCTGCGCCCGGCCTGCTCCGCTCCAGCCCGCCCGCCCCGGTGCTCAGTCCCCTTCTGCGCCTCCCTCTCCAAATGCGCCGCTCTCGCTCCTGTCCCCCTCTGTCAGCAGCCTCACCCCGTCCCTCCAGACAGACTCAGCAAGGACTGTCCGCTGCACGTGCAGCCGAGCCCCCTCCCGGTGAAATCCTCCTTTCCCCCCAAGCCGCTCTCCCATTCACTCCGGGCCCGCACTGTTTGTCCCTGGCGCCCCAGAGAGGAGATTTAATCTTACCACGGGGGTGGGGAGGCCAGGGACCTCTGTGTGACATTCCAGCTCCCGATTTAGCTCGCGTAAGGAGAGCCACAGCTGTCACTGCGTGAGTGACCCTGACTCACTGGAGAATGGGCGACTGTTGAGCAAGCGCAGGGCGAGGGCGCCGCGCTGGAGGCTGGGCCTCTCCCTCACCCAGGGGCTGACTGTCTCTAAATCCAACCTGGCCTTCCGGGTGGGAAGAAACCCGGCCAGACCTGTGGATGGTCAGTAGCAATGTTCTGCAAAGGCTCAGCCTTCTTCCTCAAGACGCTGTGATTCAGAAGAGACTAGGGCGGAAGTCTCTTTTCCTGCATGTCTGTCCTGTGTGTTTGGTCCTGCCCAGCCCTTTATATGTCACCCTAGGTCAGCAGGTGGAGAGGTCAGAGAGGCTGAGGCGAGGCGGGTGGTGCGGGGCCTACACCAGGCTATGAGCTTTCTGAGAAAGTAAGCCATTTTGTCCCAAGAGCATAGCAGCAAGGCTACTCTACGGACTTCAACATTGTTTGGAAATTGGGAGAAGCTGAGCTGGGCAGAAAGATTTGACTGCCAGGGACCTATTTTGGGCAGCAGGGCATCAGTCTCTGAGGAAATCTCAGAGCACTGAGGCTACCATCACCAGTTTCTGGGAAGCTATGACCACAGCTGTCCAGCTGTCCTGGACTCTATCCTCCATGTCCCCCCCCCAACCATACACAGTTGGCCTTTTAATCTACCCCAGGCACAACTGGTTGTTTGGGGGCCCATCATACACACTGGGACTAAACAAAAGCTTTTATGACTGCCATTGCTTAGCCCTTTTCCCAGTGAGGGGAGAGAAGTCTGAGACATCTCTAGGTCCTGACCCCACACAGACAAGGAAGAAACGGTATGGAGAGGAGGTCAAACAAACGGTCAGCACAAAGAGACAAAAGTCAGGAGCGAGTCTGTAACACACAATCCTTCCTTATTACCTGTCATGCCCTGATTTTAAGAACAAGATTTTGTGATGTTCAGCCTGCAAGAGTGTGGTAAAGGCAGAGGCAGCAGGCGCTATGTGTGAACCACAGCTGGCCCACAGGTGATAAGGGGTGCTGGGGAGAGACTGCGACGGATGAATGGGCCACCTGTAAACCTCAAATGCCTTCATACATTTCTGGGCACGGACGAGCCCCAAGGCCCATGGTGTAGGCACCGGAAGTGAGACTGGCCTCAAAAGAAGCATTGGCATAGGAATGAGGTGCCAGTGGGCGGTCTCGACACAGTCACAATGAAAGAGGACTGGGCGCCGCATCCGCTTCCGGGACAGAATCCACCTTGCTCAGTTATTCGGATCCTGACAGAGATATCACGAGTGGCTCCAATGCCAAGGTCCACACAGGAAAAAGCATCCAGGGAAAGTCTCACACCGCTGCCTGAGATCTCATAACAGGTATGGATGGAGGGCTGCTTTCCCTGTAGATTAAAGTGGGCTAAAAGAAAGTCATTGGAAGACCCCCATATTGGGGGTCGGAGGCACCACTGAGGCAGAGATGGTATCCTTGCTAAGATGGATATCACCGATGTTTCTGAAGTAGGGATCCTTTTTTTCTTGGTCTTGTTTTAAAAGTAAGGATCCTTATAAGAAGAGGAGGCAAATCAAGGTGTCAGTACAGCGCTCCCTGCTTCTCTCTTCAATGTGTCCAGCAGACTAGTCGAACAGCAGCGGGCACCCTCACGGGGCCAGCACCTAATGGCAGAAACAGCTGTCACCTTATTAACCAGGAAGAATAAGCCCCTAGAATTGAAAGCAAACCCCCTCCGTGTAAGGATGTAAGCCACTAGAGTCCATAGTACAAGAATGTAAACCTTTTGCAGATGACTACCTGAAGTTAGTTGATAGGCTTTTTCCATTCATCACTGCTGCTCCTGAGTTTACATACCTCACTTTGCTTTGTATGTCATTAGTAATCGTTGCTATCATTATTTCTTCTAAAATTTCTGGTTTTCCCTGTGATGGAATTATGCATGTTTACTTACATATATAAACATTTAGTAATCTTTTTTTTTTTTTGTCGGTCGTGGGGCTTGAACTCTGGGCCTGGGCGCTGTCCCTCAGCTCTTCAGCTCAAGGCAAGCGCTCTACCACTTGAGCTACAGCGCCACTTCCGGGTTTCTGGTGGTTTATTGGAGATAGGAGTCTCACGGTCTCTCCTGCCCGGGCTGGCTTTGAACCGCGGTCCTCAGATCTCAGCCTCCTGAG